GTGTATTGAGGAATTATTTTGTGTTGTTTTACATTGAATTTTACGCAAAGGGATTGATCTCTAATTTTTTTGTTTGGTTTTGTTTTTAAATTGATTCATTGCGTTGTGTTTATGATGTGGAATGCGTTGCTGTATAAAGAATTGGCTAATTGATGTGTTCGGTTCGGTTCGTTAGACTGACGAATTTTAAAAATTTTTAAATTTTCGAGTCAGCACCGCCAGGGTGAAGACCGTTGGGCACAGTGGGGTGCGCGGTCAATTTGCCTAAAAACATTTTGACTAACGGACAGTTTGCCTGAAGACAAATTGGCTAACGGACAGTTTGCTTGACAGACAATTTGTCTAACGGACAGTTTGCTTGACAGATAATTTGTCTAACGGACAGTTTGCCTGACAGACGGTTTGTCTTACGGACAGTTGCTTGACAGACAATTTGTCTGGTGGACAGTTTGCTTGACAGACAATTTGTCTGACGGACAGTTTGCTTGACAGAGTGTTTGTCTAATGGACAGTTTGCCTACTTACGGTTTTTTAATGAATATTTCGCCTAATAGGCAAACTATTTCTTAGGCAAATTGTCTTTAGGCAAACTGTCCGTTAGGCAAAATGTCTTTAGACAGGCAGATTGACCGACCGGTCACGGCCCCGATGGTGGCTTGTGAGATGAGTGCGTTTGTGAATGCTTGGCAATATATTTGTTTGTTTTTTGCGTTTTCGTTGATGTATGCTTCAGTTTAAATGGACTTTTTTGTGTTGTTTTGCATGTGAACGTTGCAAAAAAAAGAAAGAATTTTATGCGTCACCAAAATTTTATTCGAGGAATCTAAATTTGTCTCGAATTCGCCAAAAATTATCGCGTTATACTCGGAGAGAGTCTGTTGACAGACGGATGCGTGGGCGGCGCAGACGGCTGCCCACCGGGAAGGGTACGACATTTTGTGGATGGCGGCATTGGAAGCCGAATGCGCTGCGGTTGGTCGAGGGTTGGTATGGCGCTGTTGTTTGTGGTTATTTTTGTGCTGTCAACACCACATTGTAGTATTAGTTAGAGCGGCATTGCGCAACGACGGCTGTATAGCGTTGGATGGCGAGGCGTCGATGGAACTTGGTTTATGTCCTGACGGTGCAACGTTTACGGTGTGGAATTGTGTGCAACTAATTTGACGTTT